TCTCAGTCTCAGTATCACTCTCGGTCTCAGTCTCAATCTCACTCTCAATCTCAGTCTCAATCTCAGTCTTAGTCTCAGTCTCAGTCTCAGTCTCAGTCTCAGTCTCAGTCTCAGTCTTAATCTCTCTCTCAGTCTCAGTCTCAATCGCAATCTCAGTCTCAGTCCCCCTCTTATATCTATTCTATCAACTCTTCTATTCTATTAACTCTCATACCTTCAACCCATATAGGTATACCTACTATAAAGTACAACTGTCGATTGTTACATACTTTCCATGACAACCAATATACCCAATTCACTCAATGAATACAGCACATAATGATGTTGATGCGAATGCCATTGTCAATATTCGTGGAATACAATAAATGGCAATGCGGCGTATGCTTAATGGGCATTTTGTTCATCTTCTGTGCTTTATTATTATTTTAATTTTTAATTTTTATGCCACACATAATATACCCATATAAGATATTCATATATTTAACCATATGGAAAAAGAGTATTAATGTAATTTATGTGAGTCAGTCGCAGCTAATTTGGATGATGCAACCAATCGAAGAGCTGAGAGCATCAGAGCTCTATTCGAGTTTAATTAAAATTTCAATCTTGAGCGGAGGGAGGAGCACATGGGGCCGGAGCAACTACAGCTGGACCCAGAGAGACAATCGATGCTGCCATCGGGCAGCAATGCTGCAAAAGCTCAATTAATAACGCCCGAGCAGGTGACTAAGTCAAATTGAAAACAAGTGAGCAAGCACGAGCTGACTGATAAATGTGATAGACTAGCAGATATCATGGGCTGGCATTAAGCTATAAATATGCATAGAGTATAATTAAAAAAAATTAAAATAGTCGTTCAGGAAATAACTAAATATACATATATAAATTTTAGTGAGCAAAAACTTCCATTTGAAATAAAATACTAATTAAAGTCGATTAAATTTACTTAAGTAGAATCTAGATTTTAATGCATTATAATAAATTATATTACTATAATTAATTTTTTAAAAATACGATTAATTATTTTGGAACTTTTCAAATGAAATGGATACTTTCTCTACAATTGTTTTTCAATTAAACTCTGCTATTTGGCAAGGGCTGAACGTGTGCAGGGTAGGGAAACTATCCAAAGAAAATGTTTGTGGAAAATGAAGAAAAAATGATGATTAAATGCTGGAAAGGAACGGCTGGAGTAGGGGCAGTAGGTGGATAAAAGAGAATCAGCAGAGCAAAAGGGTCGGCAGTGCAAATGGCGCCGCGGCGACCACATTGATTTTGGTTGAACCAAACTAGGTCGCTGGCACAAAAAAAAAGAAGAAGAAAAAATGGCAAAAACTTTCAATATGAGCTCATCAGCAGCAGTCACAACTGAGATGAGAAAGAGATGAAGCAGGAGATGGACAAGCAGAAGGAACAGGAGCAGGAGTAGGAGAAGCAGAAGGCAGCAGGAGCAGCAGCTGCCAGCGGCGTAAATATGGTTTTTAGTTGAACTGAGCATACGGAAATGTGGCACTTTATGTTTACGGCGGCTCCTAATCAAATTAAGAGTCCATTTAACAAGTGCAAATTACATAATATGAAAATTACGCATACGCAACGTAGACAAGAAGAAAGCGAGCGACGTGGAATGGGCAATGGGCAATGGGCGATGGGCGATGGGCGAAACGAGATGTGCCAAACAAAGCTGATAAACTAACAAGCTGGCTCACGCCTCTCGCTCGGAGTGCTCACTGCTGCTTCTGCTGCTGACTTCATTATGATTATTATTATCATTAACAGCAGCAGGAGTAGGAGCAGCAGCAGCAGGAACAGGAGCAGAAGCAACAGCAGTAGCATGTCAACATGTGGAAACCGGAAATGAAAAAAACACAAATACTAAGCAAAGCCGTTGCCACTATGCCAATGCTTATTAACACATACTTACACACACACAAATATATATGAGTATGTATGAGTGCAGCAACAAGGACATCCAGCAAATCAAAGCAGGTTCGTTTTAGTTTCAGCAGGCAGAATATTTTAGGTACGCTTCAAGAAATCATAGTATGAATCAAAAGAAGGACCCGGCTTTGCCTGGCATAGTTTGAATCATTGCTTTAAGAGAAGACTTAAAAAAGCTTGAAGCTTTAGAAGTTTAATTCAATAAATTAAATTAACTATACAAAAGTATCCGGCTCATATATACAATATGTTTTGGGTATACATATAAGGGATAAAAAACATTGTAGGCTCTTAGAGTTAATGCTACAAATCTAATAGACTTTGCCTGGCTCAGACATATGCCTATTCAATTTAGGGAAATTTTATTACTATACGAATAAGTACACTACTCTATAGACGGCTAGCTTCTATATGTTTGGGACATATTATAGATATGAAAATCTGTTCACTTTAAAATGTTTTTCGTACAAATTTGATGTATTACCCGTCATTATTCAACTGTAGTAAAACGATTCCCATTTATTATCTTTTAGGAATAGACTAAAAGCCTTAAATCTAACTAAAGCAAATACAATATTAGCCAATCTTACAAGCGCTTCAAATTTGATCAATATGAAGCTAAAAATCTATTATAAAATCTCAGCAGAAACAACGAACAAATCAAAGAGCTATGGAGCGTAGTATATGTGTGTAATCTTAACTCCAGTTTGTCATATGCTACAAGCAAATTGAATAGAGGGGTTTCTTCTTGATTTTTTTATTGCTCTACGCAAAAGCGTAAATGGTCAAGGACATTTTTGTCGCCTGGCAAAGCCAACTGCATGTTGTCAACGTGGCAAGAAAAAAATAAATATATATAAAACTGTGGCTGCCTCCTCCTTCTGTCTCTCTCTCACTCTTTCTGTACTGCTCACAGTACAGCAGCGCTTTGTCGATGTTGTTGTTGTTGTTGCTGCTGCTCGGGGAAAATCCCAATTCGAGTCAAACAAAGCGCGCTAAAAAGTATGCAACGCACTTTGGCGCTCAACGCTAGACGCTTTTTGACTAACTGCCAAGCGGCACAAACACACACACACTAGTGTGCGTCTACATACATATGTCTGTATGTGTGTGTGTGTTTGTGTGTGCCCGCCGGCACTCTGGCAAATATTACTCGCTACTACTCCATGCTCTCTGCCATATTTGACAAAGCAGCGCATTTCTTTCACTCTGCTTCTCCTTTTCATTTTCAATAATTCTTCCTCTTTTTTGTTTGTGATGTATGCATGTGCGTGTGTGTAATCCTTCAAAGGCATTGTATGCCACACACACACACACACACACACATGTACACACACTTAATGGCATTTTGACACTGATAATGATGTTGTCATTTGCATCCGCAGCAAAATTATCAAGTTCAGAGGCCTCCACAAAATCCTCGCATTGAACACAATTCATCCTGAATATGTATATTTATATATACATGTATATGTGTGTGTGTGTGTGTTGTATATGTATGTATTACTGCAAATTGTGCATTTTTGATGACAGCTGTAATTACAGTAAACATTCTATTGAACAAACCATTGCTTAGGGTCAGCAAATTTTCAACTCTAAACTACCAACTTTATCATTTATCGAGCTTTCACTGTGCTACTACTCTATGAAGATGTTCCGGTTGTGGCTTCTTGTCTGTTGAGTAGCCAAAAATAAATAAAGCAAAACTTTCAGTCCTCGCTGGACGCTCCGATTTGTATGGCTCCATGACTGGAGGCAGTTGAAATTTGTTGTGAAATCTGTATTTATCGAATTGATTAAGTTGCGCTGCCTGAAGCAGCAATACATAAAAAAAAATAAAAATAAATTCAAAAGCCAATTAGAATCAACACAGAGAAAAGGCTAAATTTGCTGTAGAGCAGAATGCATGGAGCTTAACATAGAGTTGCAAGTTAAGTTAAATTGGCCAATTAGAAAATACTCAAAAAGGGGAAGCTAAACTGGCCTAAAAAGCAGCATTAAACAGTCAAATATAGCTAAAATGCCATATCTATTTGATATTCTAGCTTGAACATACGTATAATAAAAGCCAAAAGTTAAACTAGTTTTACGAATATATCGAATTTTAGCTGATTTAAGAAATAGCTTTTCATTTTCAATGTTGCTAACATCATAAAATGCCAATAAGGAACCTTTGATTATATACAAAATCTAGCTATTTGGGCAACCTCTGCCGATTTAGGATATATAGTGGAGCTCTGTATTAAAACTTTTTTTCTCCATTTGCCATAGAATAAAAACACAATCAAAGCAAGCCTTTATAGTTTACTCTTAGTCTTGGACTTAGCCTTACGCTTAGACTTTTCATTAATGTTAGCCACATTCTTAGCCTTATAGCTTTAGCCACAGCCAAATTGCTCAAAACTTAACAGTTCAGTAAAGCAACGCTTGGGCCTCAATCCGCCACAAAGCAGAGCATAAAAGGAAACGAAACTAACCCCACACATGCATCATTTTTTAGCCATAAAATAGCTAACCAATTTGGCTAACTGCTTTGCAATTTGGAGTTTTGCGGAACAACCCTCCCGCTTTAATTGACATCGAGCGCCATTTGCAATTTAGTGCACACTGCATTTTTATTGACGGCCTGAGTAGTGGTACAGGGGACGGGGGCAGTGAGGGGTGAAAGAGTAACTTACCTTATCATTGTTGTACTCGGCTCTTCCTCTGCCTCTGCCTGTGTCTTCGCCGCTGCCACCAACAACAACAACAACTTGAACAGCAGCCGCCAGCGCAGCCTTTGCCGTCGCCGTCGCCGTTGCCGTTACCGTTTGTCAACTGCTGCCGCTTAAAGCTGGGCGCGTCGCGCTGCTGCTCCGTTCGCCGCTTCCGCTTCTTCTTTCTCGCCCTCTTCGCCTCCGTCTCGCCCTACAGCTGCGACTCCTACTGCGACTGCGACTGCGACTGCGAGTCCGCGCCGTGTTTGTTGTTGTTGTTGCTGTTGATGCTGGCGCCGGCAGCTCACTAACAGCGCTCCATAGCCACACCTAACATATTGCGAGTGCCGTACAGTGTGTATATGTGTGTGTGTGTGTGTGTGTGTTTGTGTTTTGCTTATTTTCTTTTTGATTAACAACTTTATGAACTGCTCTAATGGGCTGCTTCTATATCACTTTCACTGTACGCTTTGTGGCCTTTTGTATCCTTTTTGCCGGTCGCGTTTCACGCACTTTTCGCTGCTTTTGCTACTTTACTATGTTTCTCTTTCTCTTTTTGGCGCTGCGTGGACTGCAACTGCTAATTGTGTGCGAATTTCGAAATTTAATTTTGCGAACACGAGTTCTGTTTCAACTTTTCTTCTTCAATTTTTTGTGGCAACGCGTTGCGACCGTCGTGTATGGCTGCACAGTATTGAATTTTTCGCATTTACATTTTTAACGAGCGGGTTTGGGGTTGGGGTTGGTATTGATTTTTTTGCCCAAAAACTGACACTTGCTGGTGCACACGCAAGCCGCCAGATGGCGTGTATTTTGACAGTCAAATTGAGGGTTGAAGCACTGCCAAAACAGCTGACCGCGTGTTGAGTAACGGTTAAGTATTCGAAAACCAAATCGCTGCACGGAGTTGCCAGATAGTTTAAAACTCCACACCAACTAGGGAAATGAAGCGATCAGACAATTAACGGCTAAGTATTCGAAATCAGATTATTTTCGATTAATAAATATCATAAATGTTACGTTTGAGTTATACTACATGAACACACAATGATTTTTATTATATTAAATATATAAATAAAGTACCATAACATTTACAAATTGCATTACATCAAAAGCGCCGTTTTATCAACCATACTTCTATATATAGTTCACTAAAATCATTATATTCTTTTTATCAGTATCTGCCTTTTTGCACTATCACAATGATTCAAACTACATTGTTCAGCTTTTCCATTATGTTAAATAACTATTAATAAATTTAAGATATACATATATTATAATATATATATATTTAAGTTGTATCTACAGTATGTTTAAAACCAATAGCTACATGCATAAAATTAATATATGTATTCCATAATATGTATGTATTGTAACCTTTTGACTATATAAATTTAAGCACTTTTTCTTTTAAAATATACTACGCATAGCTTTCAGTCTTTAAATAAATCCAAAATCAATTAGAAACTGCAATGCTACATATAACATCATATCATATGTATGTTTACATTGTTCGTATATGTTTTTGCGACTGTATTAAAATTTGAATAGTTTAAAATTTGGCTGCATGATGTTTCTCAATCATTTGCTACTTGAATTCGATGTACAAATTGTTATGCACCGGCCCCCAAATATAAATGCACTCAATGCTTCCAGATTGTTGAGGAATGTAACATTTCAGCTGATGTGCATTTAGTCTGGATGGCTGTATGAAAGACGGTTTATGGTTAGCTGAACTAGACGTTGGCTCGATGAGGCCTCCTAAGGTATATGCATGTTTTGCATTTCTTTCTTTAAATGTAAAATTATTAAAATTTGGCTGCATGATGTTTCATTCAATTTCTGTTTCGATGTACAAATGTTCGTGTAGAGACCCCTAATGCAAATACACTCAGAGCAGCCCTACCGCTAATACTTTGGAATGTGTTTGGTTAATGATGATTAAATCGCTGGTTTGGATCTTTAGAGTGCACTTTCTTAGGGGTCTGCTTGAAAGACGGTTTTTGTTTAGTTGCACGAGCTGTTGATGGACGTTGCCTACAAACGCGTTGCTTCCGACACGGTGGCAACGTCGCAGCCGTTGTCCGTTGGCTGCTGTTGTCCTGTGGAGCTGGCCACATCCTTCGTTGGCCTGGGCAGGTGCGAGTAGTAGCCCAACTGACAGGAGTTTTGATGAGATAGCTTTTGTGTCTGACTTAGCTGATATTGCGCCGCCTTCAGCGCCTGCTGTTGCTGTGGCGTTAGGCAATCGCAGGCTGCCAGGAGCTCCTCTGTGGACTTGGCCGTTATGGTGGTGGTTGTTGTGGTCGTCAGCTCACCCACAAATTCGGTAGGAGGCGGCGCATAGTTCTCCACATCGCCATAGGTGGAATAGCGGCCATAAGGATTGCGCCTAGGCATGGAATGCCGTTGTTGTGCTATTTGCAGCTTGACCGCCGGCTTAATGGCAACTGTATCCAGATAGCCGTAGTTAAAGCTCTGGCCCACAAGCGTTTTGGTGGCTAGATTATCCCAGGATTTGGGCTTCTGCACGTAAGCAATGGTGTTTGGATAGATCTGTGAGGGCTGCACTTGAGTAGCTGTCATATGGTAATGCGGATGATGATGATGATGGCCATGTTGTTGTTGCTGCTGTTGCTGCTGATGTTGTTGCTGTTGCTGCTGCTGCTGCTGCTGGGAATGCTGCTCATAGGATTGCCTGGACTTGGTCGAGTGTTGCCTGGAGGACTGTGCCGCCTCGCTCTTGGGCTCCCAGAACAACGTATCCGTGCTAATGGAGGTGGTATATGACGCCGAGTCAGCGGGCGCAAATTCACTAGAGGTGCAGGAATGCAGGCTACAATGGCTAGCCAAACCAGAGGCTAAGTCAAAGTAGCGGGAGCGAACGCTGCTCGCTTGGGAAGGCGCCTGATGATGATAATGATGATGTGGTTGCTGCTGCTCCTGTGGCTGTTGCTGCTGCTGCTGCTGCTCTTGTGCATGTCGATGATGATGATGATGGTGGTGATGATGATGATGATTGGACTGTCGATCCACGGTCGCAGCTGGCTTGGTTACATTGGCGCCAGGCGAGGCATGTGTCTTGGTTGCCTGCTTCTCTTTAGACTCCAATCTCTCCTTTTCCTTCTCCCTCTCCCTCTCTCGATGTTTGTGCTTGTGCTCCTTGTGCTGGCGATGGCGACGTCGTGAAGGCACGCACTGTGTCTCGCAGCAGGGACTGGCCAAATCGTAGGCATCCAGGCTCACATTATCGCCGTTGCTGTGTGACTTCTCCGCAGACTTCCAGCGAAAGTGGCCCAGGCAGGGATTGCACGAGTGTCCATTGCCATGGCAATGTTTGGTCTTCTCCTTGGCTGGTGGCTTGTGCTTCTCGCAGGTACGCGGCGGTGGCGCAGGTGGCTTCACTGTGCTAGCTGCTCCACTTGCTCCTCCTCCTCCTCCTCCACCTCCTGCACTCGCACTATGGTACTGACTGTTAGCTGTTACCTGGCTGCAGCTATTGGTGTCCAGTGACTCGGTTCTCTGCAGCACATAGTGCTGATCCCCTCCAGCCGCTGCTGCTCCTCCTGGCAGCACATAGCGATACCGATAGCTAGGATCCAAATAGTGATACGTGAGCATAAACTGCGCGGGTGGAGGAATTATAACTGGCTGCTGTCTCAGTGCTATATTAGCCACATCCTCTGTGGACAAAGCGGGTCTATAGAAGCCCGGCTCATTCGCACTCGCCTCTGTTGGAGAGACGCCTTCTCCGTCGCTCGGCGAGGTATTGGTATTTGCTTTCTTTCTCGCCGGCAAGCTGTGCGTCTTCCACTTGCCCTCCAGCAGCTCCCGCTCACGCAGATGCACTCGCTCCAGCTCATTCATCTTCTGCTGCAGCAGACTCTGCAGCTGTATATAGCGCATGTGCAGATCAACCTATACAAAGAACACATTTCCTTAGAGGATTATCTACAGCATTTGGCATGCTCAAGCTCACCTTTCTCACACAATCCTCGAAGAGCACAACCATTCGCATGCGCATATCGCATTTCTTGATAAACTCCACAATGGTCTTATGATCCGCCTTCTCCATATCGTTGCCATTGATGGAGAGTATAACGTCGCCTTCACGCATCCCAGCTCGGTAAGCCGGTCCACCGTATTCCACATAGTCCACATACGTAATCATCTCCAGCTCCTCGTCGCATTTGTAGTGTATGCCATAGCTTTGCAGTGTGAAGCCATACGAATCGTTTCTCTTCTCCACAATGATCGTGCGACGTCTGCGGTCCTCGTCCGGCTTGGAGCCAGGCAGCAAACGCTCCGATTTGTAGCGCCCCAAGATGTGAGTAGAGCGAGAGAGCTGCGAGTGTACGGAGAAGTTACAAAATGTTAAAGATATTGGATAGTAATCGGAGTACAGGGGAGTAGATGTGTGAATGTAAGGAGGATTCAAGTCATAGAAGTGCGCTTGGAATAATCGGTGAGTCTATCATATTTTCATTCTGCTCTTAGACTTCCAAAATATTACAGAAAATACCTAAATGCCTTACCAACAAGCATCATCCATATAACTCTATCAAGTATATATAATTTATAAAGCTTAACTTAATCCTCATTAACCCTTCAACCCTTAGATAAATGCCGTTTCTTGTTTTCATTTTGAAGCGCTTTAAAAGGCGAAAAACTAAGCCATTTATGTCCTCACGAATGTCCTAATACTTTCTCTCCTTGTCTCGGTCTTTCAATATATATATAAATCTGTCTATTGCCTCCTCTCGCCTTCTCGCTCCCCTAAGCAATAAAGCTTTAATGAAAGGCCCAGTCGCTGTCTATTTAACTGTGCTGTCTGTGTGCGTCTTGTTTGCCTGCCATTGTTTCAAATCCTATCTCTTCTGCTGCCCCCTCTCCCCCTCTCCCGGCGACCATTTGACCCGTCTAAAGCCCAGTGAAAGTGTTAGCTTGAAGGAAGAACTCCTCATACCATATTCATGAAATACTTTTTTGTTAAAAGCCGTGACAGCTGGGCAAACATCATTTGGTTGTGGCGTTGCCTGCGGGCATTCGCTGTGCCACTTTTGTGGCTGGCCATAGATGATGATGATCCCCAGGTGTAAACTACTATTCATACCCTGTAGGCTGTGGGCGGGCAGAAGGGCTTGTATAGCTGTTGAGCCATGTGGATTACTGTTTATACAGAGGTGGGTCAAACGTCGAACTAGTTAAAATATATTAGATATATTTGGTTTCTATAAATATCTTTAACTCTCGCATAGATAGATAGATAGAAGTGGGTATACACTAAAACAAACTTATATGTATATCATACCTAACATACTATATCAACTTACACTACCTTATATAGTTATATCCCGAGGCTACCATTTGCGTTGTACACTATTCGTATTTTCTTTATAAATATTAAATGTAATAGAGCGTCTAGAAAACACGGATGCAATTTGAAATTTCATTCTAACAATAACTTAAAAGAAGAAAAACAAAACAAGTTTAAGCTTAAAGCTGCCCAACGAAAAGACTGAAAAGAAAATGCAAAAGCAGAAATATTTAATGTTCCAGCAACATATGAAACCCCTAAAAGGTCTATCCATGACAAACAGTTCCGGTTTGGGCTTCATTAAGCATAGCACAAAAATCTCATAAAAAAACATAATTGAATTAATTTTGTGAACAAAAGAGTGTGGGTAGAGCAGGAGATGGGGGAGAGAAGTTGTGGCAAGGGAGGCAAGGAATAAGCAGTGGGGGAGGTAGGTAAAATATTACGTGGAGTGAGAAATAAAGAAAGATTGATGATGGAATGGGAGGAGATAAGGATAGACGATAGAAGACTAGAGGAAAAAAATTGATGAACGAAGAAGCTGTAATTATGTAGAAGAGAAGAAAATGCACAGGGGAGCAAAAGAGGAGCAAAGGAGCACGTAGGAGCATAATCGCAGCAAAGGTGAGCAGGAGAGACGGAGGTCAGCTATTTCCGTAACATTAAATTATTGAAAACTGATTTGAGCCGCTGCTTTGGTCTGCTTTTTGCTTTGCCAATTGTCTGGCCAAGCGTAAGCTTTGGCTATGGAAACGGACTAAAGGTTAAACAGCTGAGGCGGCTTTCAACCCCAGCTCGACCCACACCAAAGGGAAAAGCCACCACCAAGGCAAGCACATACATATGTATAGAAAGAGAGTGAAAGAGAAAGAGCTAAATTCACCACCCGCCGCCGCCGCAAGGCGATTTCAATTGAGCTGCAGGACAACACATTATGACTCAATAAGCAGCCAGCTGGAGGTGGGGGAGGAAGAGCAGGAGGAGCAGGAGGATGAGGCTGATGAGAACTTTGTAGTTTGTCGACTTTTGATTTAATGCATATTAGTCACATTACCTGCGCATACTCAAACTCCTCGTCGCTGGCATCGAGACTCTTGTGATGGTACTTTAGACGACCCAAGCTGCCCGTTCCATTCACGTAGTGGGAAGCCGTTGGCTGTTGGCTGTTAGCGGTGGCTGCTATCAGTGAGCCCACCGAGGTGGCATTGGAAACAGACATGGAGACGGCTGCAGCTGTTGTCGCCGCCGACGCAATGCTCTGGCGGCTCATGCTGTTCATGGTTTCTTTGTCTATTGATTTCTACACTCAATCATTTTGCTAGGTAGCCAAAAGGAAAAAAACCCGACAACAGATACCGACAAAAAAAACTACACAAATTATATCGCGTTTTATAAATAATAATAGATGTCTATGTATATTAATAAACATCTGCGCAACAGCTCGCTTCAATCACCGACCACGTTACAATTGCAATTAGTCATAAGCATTGACCAGCAAATGCTGCGCTACTATTTGTTTTGTTGAAAAGAAACTTTTTTCATATTCGTTTGTCGTGTGTGTTTCCGCTTCGTTTGTTCCACTTCCGTTCGAGCTTGGTGCCGTACTGAATGTGGCAGCGGCCAATGGAGAGTACGTGCAGCCAGAATATTACCGTTAGTACTTATATTTATGGCACATGTTGACTGTCAGCCGTTCATGTTGCATACAGAAGGCAGTAGAAATACAGTGCGCTCAAATTTAAATGCGCATGCGCAGAGTTGCCACCTAGGGAGAGCATAGCAGTAGCAGGAGCGTGCACCGAGTTGAGATGACCAATGAGGCATTCGATTACGAGCAGCTGGTAGCACTCTCTAGAATAATCAAGTGAAGTGCTCGGTTTTCCTTTATTTGTTTATTAAGAGTTGCCACTTGGAAGAGACAACAGCAGCAGCCGTAAATGGCAGCACCATGACCAAATGAAACAATCGAAATCCTTTTTCTTATGTGTGTTTATTGGAAGTATATATGGTGCAATATATTGCTATTCGGCAAGCTCGCCACCAGGGACCAACTGCAATAGGTGGAATAATATTAATACTACATATATGAGAAATCTCAACCACCCGCTGTATTACTCACCATTGTAATGTTGTTACCATTTAGCAGTATCTGGTCGAGCTTTGTAATTCGGCGTCCATCGGGCGTATTTTCGTACTCTGTGACATCGTCTAGCAACATGTTGACAAAATCATCAAAGCCCAATAGAGTGCCCACCATTTCCTTGTCGTTTTTCATGATGATGTGAATCCGCGAACCGATGCATTTATCCACCAGTTCTGCCGGCAACACGTTAAACGTTTTATATATTAATCAATACACGTATTTCGTTACTTACCCAATGGCATAAGTGTGGATATGTTAGCGGGCGGCGGCACAGCAGTCATTTTTGGGAATTTAAGTCAATAAACTTAATGGAAATAACAAAACGCTTGCCGCACTTAATACGTATCGTATAATGTCAATTGCTTGCGATAATCCCTGAACGAAAATTTAGTATCGACTATCGCCAATAACGATTGCACATTTATGTGTGGTGAGTTTCAGACTATCGATAGGTTTCAAAAGCGTAGCTATAGCTGTCGAAAAAACAGCCGGTGTTTTGTGTTTGGTAAAATAAATAAAATCGTAACAATGAACGACGGTGAGTTATTCTCAGTTTATAAAATAAAATGTGTAACAACTAATTGGTTTTTTATGCAGAGGAGATTATTAAACAGCGCTTGCTTATTGATGGCGATGGCACAGGCGAAGATCGCAGGCTTAACATGCTGTTAAAGCAGTTTCTGAAGTGGGCCAACTCCAAAAACGATTCGCCGGAGACCAAGTACAATTTGATATAAATAATAATTATTAAATATTAATAGGACTAAAATTTCAGTCAAATCATGTACGATCGTTTGATGGCACAGTTGGCGCAATGTCAATTTGCAGCACTGAAAAATGTATACACGTTACGGATGATCAAGGAGGAGCAGGAGAACTACGCGAAACTAGCTGAAAAACATAAAGAGAGCATCGAACTTGCTAAAGAGGAGATCGAGGCAAGCAAAAAAGAACTTATCATAGCTAAGGAAATACGCAAAAATAAAATGGAGTACGATTTGCTAGCCTCCTTAATCGAGGAGCAGCCCGATCGCAAGGATACAGAGAAACAAATCGAAGTCATCAAAAAGGAAATCGACAAACTAACACAAAAGAAGCTAAAGATGGAGCACAAATTCCAGAAGCGCCGCAACGATTTCACACTCTTAATGTACACCATACATGAGCTAGAGCAGCAGCTGGAGGAGGAAAACAGCTCCGGGTCATCAGACTCAAGTGAAAGCGATGCCGCATCCGAATCGAATGATAATAATGGCATCATGGAAGTCAGTGACGATGAGGATGATGAATTAAATAACATCGTTACCACAAAATTCGATAGCAATCGGGGCAAATCGAAAGAAAACTCTGCCTCAACCGAAAGCTCCAAGGAGCCCATGACCATGTCTGTGGACGAAGATGCAGTGCTGGAGCTAAGCATAGAAAAGGATGACCATGATGTAGATGTTGCAGTGGCCAGTTAAACGAGAGTACAATTAATTTTAAGATGTGTTTACATTATATAATTGACCAGCACAGCCATCGATGCGGGCCCCACTCCATATTTAAGCAATCGAAGGTGTCGATGGTTCCAGCTTAAATTTAGAGCTGTTTAAGTAAAGATAGGTTGACAATGTTCCGCCTTTAACAGTTTGTAAAAAAAAAAATGTTTATTCTTATACAAAAACGTCAACAGAAATCATAAACTATTATAACAACCAAATCGATACTATCGACAGTTTATATAGCTCTAAATTGCTATTAACAAGATTTAAATGCTAGATCCGCAACAAGAGCCACATGATCTGAGGGGAATTTAATGGATGGTATAGCCTCATTCTCGCTCAACTGTTCCAGCGTGGGCAACGGCACAGATTGCAGGAGATCAAAACAGTCGCTTTGATAGAATATGTAATCCAAGCAGGCAGCGAATAGAGTTGTGTAGTTAGTGTAAGGCGGAGTGCCACAGGCGGAGCTCATTAGGAAAGGCTGTCGAAGTTCCACATCCTTGACAGCTTGCTCTTCATTGCTGCTCCAATCCACAAAATCCTTGCCCACAAATTGCTCCGTCATCAGCTTATAGATGCCGCATTCCGGTACGCTGTTGAAGTCCCCACAAAATATTAGACCAATATTTTGGGAAGTGATATTGCGCTCTTTTATGACTTGTTTGTAGATGTGCTCCACGAAGATCAGCGAGAAGCCGATCTGCAGCAGTCGTATATGATCGGCATCTGGATGGAAGTATAGATGGGTGTTGGCCACCAAAACATAGCGACCAGTCTCTTTCACCTGCAGCAAGGACAACTGCAACGTGGTGGATCTTTCGCAAATGCGCTTGGCCAGCTGCTCGTTGCTCTTAATTCTATTCCACAGTGGCGTAAAGACGGGCAGCGTGCTTATGTTATCACCCAGGTGCAGAACATAATTCTTCACCAACTCAAACCTCGTGCTGCGATAGAATAGAGCAATACCTTCCGCGCAGGTTCCCTTGGGTGTCATGATGCCAGTAAAGCTGTGCAGTACGTGCTTTAGATCATGCTCAAAAATCTTCAAATCCACCTCCTGCAGGCACATGAGGTCCGCATTGTAGCCCAGCAGCTCCTTAATGAACAGCTGCTTACGGTAATCGATTTTAAGTGCATTCGCCGCACAATAGGGAAACAGAGTCTTACGCGCATAATCTCCATCCGCATAAAGATCGGCCAACAGATTGTAGCTGACCACCCGAATTGCATTGGGATCACTTAGTGGCTGCTTAGTATATTGATGACGCTGTTCAAATGGGCAGTCGATGGGTCCTGGCTGCACAGGCAATTTACTGATGCATTCTGTAGCTGGGCCAAGGATACCCTGCTCGTTGCCTGGCCTAATCACCAGCTTCAAATGATGGTCAACGTCTGACGAAGAGGTCTGATAAATTAATCCTTCTGCACATCGCTCCCAGCTGGTCTTCTCATTAAATATACCATTCGCTGGTTTTACTGCCCTATACCACTCTGCTCTACTATGCTCCCGACTGGCAAACTCCAGCTCAAGCTTTAATGGATAAACCGGAAATCCAGCTAAAATGGAGCTGGGTAATTGTACTGAATCAATCCAAGGCTGATTAAGCAGCACATCAAAGTTGGTGTCGTGAATTCTCAGCTTTAATCCATCTGCCGAGTTCTTCAGCAGCTCTTCAAAGGTTACGCCCAGAATTTGCTCCTCCGAGCCTTCCCGACGGAACTCCACAACAATCTCGTTGGGAGTGATCGCCAACGGTGTCTCGACAGCTGCTGCTCCTTTTGGTTTCTTCTTACTCTTTTTGGTGAGCTCCTTTTCAACATTGTTGCGTATGCGTAGGAGCGCTTCATCCACGCGCTCGCTCATGCGTCGACAAAAGTTAAAGCTGCGATCTAATTTGAGCCCCTGGTTGGCATAACGAAATGTAATGTGAAGCTCCTCTGTGTTTTGTGCATTGCGCAAATAAACTTTGTCCATGGCGACGGCTGTGCTATGCGGCCGTAAGCTACGTAAAGAAGTCGAAAGTGCAGTTGCTCGCAATTGTTGGTAAACTAATGAGTGTAGCGAACAACAATGAATAAACTTTCCAATCATTGCCGGCGTGCTGCACTCTGTTAAGTTAACATACAAATGTTACGGCGGTTAAATTAAAAACAGGTAGCATCTAAGAAAATAGTAAGTTAATAAACAATCAATTTGAACCAATAACTACTTATTGCACTGTTTGTCCTATTTTGCTTTAAAAGGAAGTTGACTTCTTTTATGTTGTGTAAATGTAAATAACAATCAATCGATGTCAGTCTGCTCGCAACTATCGAGCTGTTAACTATCTGTGCTATCTGTTATTTTACAGCACTAGTTCATTAACTCATTTGTTCAGTTTTTTGGTCGCGAACTGGTAGCAAACGTTTGGACACAAGTTAAATGCAAATATAAAATCGCACGCCAAAACTTAAAAGTTAAATTTGTAATAATATTAAGTAGGTAGAACTGCATGCCCAAGCTACAATCCATCATACACAATGACGAGTGACGACAAGAGGTAAGGAATAAATATAAAATAAAAAATTAAGCAAAACTTTGTGAGGTTATGTGTGTGTGTGTGAGAAATTGGTGTTGTGTGTATGTATATTAATTTACTTTTTTCAAGCAGTTACGACTCCAGTGACAACAGCGAGGCTGAGGAGCGACACGCCAAGCATAAAAAGTCTAAAAAGCATAAGAAACACAAAAAGTCGAGCAGCAGTGAAAAGGTGCACAAAAAGCACAAGAAATCGAAAAAGCGCCATCAGCGTCACAGCGAATCTTCAAATGCATCCGAGAAGCAGCAGCTCATACGAAACAATGCAGTGACTCAAGGTCTGAGTAGCAAATTTACTGAGTTGATGCAAGCCAGTCGCGAGCGTAGCTCAAAACTGACGGCCAATGGCGCCGACTTTCGTATTGTCAAACCAAATACAGACCCATGCAGCTTGGTTGAAGAGATTACCAAGACCATACAGAACAAGGTGCGGCCTGTACTTGAAGTGGCCACATCTGGTAGTGAGAGTGATGTGTAGGTATTGAAGATATATCAATGTAACGTGTAACTCATAGATCGTATGTATTCTAGCCCCATTGACATAGCCAGTCCTGTGTTGATGCCAGATAAGCTCGAGGATGAGCTAAATTTGGAGGAGCTAATGCGACAAAAGGCACTTCTGCAAGCACGCCTGGGTGCCTACATGTCTGACACTGAAGGCGATGAGACTCGTTCCAATTCGTTGCAGCTCAAGCGTCCACTGCAGCAACCCCAGCAGCCACAGCAACCCGTAGTTGCAGCTATCGAGGCGCCGAAGCGTAGGCCGAACTCGCAGTCTGCACTGCAGCTGGCAACTGCAACTAGTAAACATGCTAATAATAAACAGTCTAACATCAATAACTCAAACGAACCCGATGTTATATTATTGGATGATTCTAGCGGTAGTCAGCGTACGCCCTCGCCCACACCAGAGAAGCGAAGACGACAATCATCGCCCATCCCACAAAGAAGTCGGCCACAGCAGCAGCGAGACTCGCGTGATCGTCGTTCGATCCGAGATCAACGAAGTCGCACGCCTCGCCGACGCAGTGAGCAACAGCTACAGCAGCAGCAGAGACGTCATCACCAAGAGTACAACAGGAACATGGAGGATCTGCGACAGGAGATCAATCGTGACAAGCAGCGAGAGCGACGCGAACAAAGTCGTGATCGTGAAAGGCGACCAGAGAGAGATAATCGACAGCAGCAGTCAGAGCGTGGAGGTAGGCAGCGCGAGCGCGAGCGCGAACGAGAGCGTGATCGTGATCGCGATCGCGATCGCTGGCAACGTCCACGGTCGCATAGTCGTAGTAAGTTTGAGTCAGATAGAAGGCGTGAGCGTGAGCGTCAGCTGGAGCAGGATCGGGGCGGTGAACGTGGCACAGGATCTGGACGTGGAGCACGCTCTGGCAATGGTGTGGGCGCCACCGATCGCGATCGCTATAAAGGCTCTTTAAGCGAGGGGCAGAAAATGCACGAAAAGGAGAGCAGCGACGAGGAATCCAGTCTTGACATAGATATCAACGAGGACGAGGATGATGAGGAGCGTATCATTGAGATGCGTCGCAAGCAACGTGAGGAGCTTGTCAAGGTAAGTCCAATGCAAGTAAATATAGCTCCTATTACAAATACTTATTCTATTTCGTTCCTAGAAACTGGTTACCACTGAGGGGAAATCGCGTACAACCAGCCCGACGCCTCGCAAGTCGAATTCATATGAATCGAGAAGCATTTCACCCGTCTCCTCGAAACCCGAGCAGATGCAGCATTCGCCAACGATTGAAAAAGAAGAGCAGCCGCCTGCTAAGCCCGAAGCGTTCGATGCAAATGCTTCGAAGAACAGCACAGTTAAAGAGAAACGCAACGAATGGGACATGTTTGCCGATCAGGATGTTGATTCAAATTTCGATGTGAGTCACAGGCTTGTAAATGTCGAGCATGCAACAGCTTAAACAGAAAGTTACTCAATCACTCTCTGTATTTATAGTCCCCCAGTACGATAGTGCACAGTAAGCATCAAATTGAGAATCCTGCTCTAACTGACAATTGGGACGATGCGGAGGGTTATTATCGTGTGCGCATTGGTGAGGTACTGGACAATCGCTACCTCGTCAGTGGCTACACAGGACAAGGCGTGTTCAGCAATGTGGTGCGCAGCAGGGATCAGGCGCGTGGCTCGGCCAATGTGGCTATCAAAATTATACGCAACAACGAGATCATGTAAGCGGGATCATCCAATGTTTGTTTACGTCAATGTCATCAACAGTAATGTAATCAATTCGATATTTGCTTTTTCTATATGGCCAGGCATAAGACAGGTCTACGTGAGCTGGAAATCCTTAAAAAACTCAACGATGCGGATCCTGATGATCGTTTCCATTGCCTTCGTTTATATCGGCACTTTTTCCACAAGCAGGTAAGGGGTCTCGATATATTCTCAAAAATCAATTAATAACCCTCTTTGAACCCTCGCTTCGTAGCATCTTTGCATGGTATTTGAGCCGCTGGCCATGAATCTGCGCGAGGTGCTCAAGAAATATGGCAAAAATGTGGGTCTTCACATAAAAGCGGTGCGCAGCTATACTCAGCAACTGTTCCTCGCTCTTAAGCTGCTGAAGAAGACGGGCATACTGCATGCGGATATCAAGCCCGATAATATTCTAGTTAATGAGAATAATTTGATATTGAAGCTGTGCGATTTTGGCTCTGCATCGGCCATCAGTGAGAATGAAATAACGCCTTACTTGGTATCACGTTTCTATCGAGCACCTGAAATAATATTGGGTATACCCTATGACTATGGCATTGATACGTGGTCAGCCGGTTGCACTATCTACGAACTATATACGGGCAAGATATTGTTCAGTGGCAAGAGCAACAATCAGATGCTTAAATTCTTTATGGATGTAAAGGGCAAGATACCCAATCGCATCATACGCAAGGGACAATTCAGAGAACAGCATTTTGATCAAAGCTGCAATTTCCTTTATCACGAAATAGACAAATTAACAGAGAGGGTAAGTAAAGGAATACATTTGTATATATATATATGGGTAACTAATTAAAATCTAATATTGAATTTTTCAGGAAAAGATCGTCGTGATGCCTGTGGTGAAGCCTACCCGCAATTTGCAACAGGAGCTAATCGCTGATCAGAACTTACCCGATGATCAGCATCGCAAGGTGACACAGCTCAAAGATCTGCTGGAGAATATGTTTGCCTTGGATCCGGGCAAACGTATATCGCTAAATCAGGCACTCACACATCCCTTTATACAGGAGAAAATGTAGCTCCAAACCGCACAGAGAGCGACACAATAAACGTAATTCAATTATTTGTAGACTATAAGAAATTACGTTAGAACAAGTTTATCGAGTTATTATTATCACCCGAGCTACAAAAACCACACACTCAGCTATAAATAGACTATCTACTACCTATCTATCTATCTTTCTATATATATATATAAATCCGTATATATCTTGATTGTAAGCATATGTACATAATGTTCAGTGGTTCGGCCGAATTGTTATTTGTGTGTGCGTGCTTACACGAACTTAATATGTATAAAACTAAGTAATACATACTATATATATATGTATATGCATGTACTTCAGTTACTACTACACACACATACAGACACACACACACACAGACTCGCAATTATATAGTGTGGTATATATACATATATAACATCTAGCTGCAGTTGATTCTCTATCAGAAACTATTATTAATATTTGATACCATTTCAGTGGACCTCTGCTGATCTATAAAGAAATGGAATCGAGCTGCGCAACTGGTAATAATTTATTTTTGGGCTCACATCAGTAAAAAAAAAAAAAACAAAAAAAAAAAAAAACATTTATGGGCCAACTTTCTATATTATTTTTTCCAACCCCAATTTGGCTTATGTTAAACTCTCAGTTTTAATGCTGTTTGTTTTCTCTGAACTTTGCAGCTAATTCGGCCGAAATTGTGGAAACTGCGCGTCTTGAAACTTTGACACAATCCCACGTCCGGGCGTAAGTTGTGTTTTCCTTTGAAATCGCGTGTCTTACTGAGAAACATTTCTCTTTCTCTCTCGTGTTCTGTTTCTATTATCACAGGTAAACGAGGAGGCGAGGATTCCTCTTGCGAGCAAGCCACAGGTAAAGTAAACAATGGATTGAATTTGTTGCTTTTGCTTGAAGTCAGTTTAGAAACTGTTTGGGCTAAAGATGATTCAATAGGATGTCCATGGCGAAAAAAGCTTCGATTTGTTAGATGATTGCATGCAAATCAAGTTAAGGGAACATGATGTGTCTGTCTAAAAGATTATAATCAATTGTGCTGTGTCCGTCTGTGTACGTTGCGAAGCTTGGAAAATTTGATATGCCTGAATCTCCTGTGTTTCGCAGTGTAGATATCTAGTCAAAATGACATGATCGAAAAATTATCAATTTTCCATAGTTTTAATGCTAAATAGTAGATTCCTTAGTGCCTTATGTAGATTTTTAGGGTGCTCGGGCGTCCATCAATCCAATGAATCAATCAATATATTAGGAATTGGCTAACCGTGAGAAAGACATTTTGAATTGTGAGAGTTAAAGCCGTTCTAGATTTTAAATACACTTCATATAAACAACTTTTTTATCTAGAAAATGTATATTGAATACTTGCTAGTTTGAAATTACCTCTACCTCCTAACTTTACAATAATATAGTCAGCATTTATTAGCCTAGACATTAGCTTATAAATTTGTTTAATACAAGTAAGAAGAAATGAATTCCTACATTTTAAGTCTGACAGAATTGAACAACCTTTATAAGTTCGTAAAAATTGACTACACAGATTTGTATTAGGCATGTTAAATATATGTATGTTATATATATATATACATATTCTCGGTTCACTTTCATGTTGAGCCAGCATTTACATACTTTAGATAGCATACAAAAGAAATTAGAAATTTCAGATAGAAAAAAAAACTGAAAATTTTCATTCACAGACTAGTTGCTTAGTACATTCTAAACAAATAAATATCATTCAGTCAGCCTTAATTCTAGGTTATTCATAGTCCTATAGCTTTATTTAAGCCACCTAGTCAAGTGCGTCAGTTGGCGTGGGCAGAGTTAATGCTAATTGTAGCGTCTTGCTTTCATCCAAGGTGTGTAATCGAGGCGGACTCAGTTCGCTGCGCAGCAAACACTTGAATTTCTTGGGTTTCCAGTTGTTGCCTTCGTTCGGATCGCGCAGTAGTCCAAAGGCGCACTCGAATACACCCACAGAGCGTTCGGCTGAGTGCAGTGTGCCACAGCAGAGCACGATAACCTGGCCATAGGGATCGATGCGTCCTTGGACACCAGAATGCGATAAGTTAGGATTGAAGTAGAAGCCAAATGTCTGTTTAGCTCTGACTAGGCATTCGAGCACCTGCTCAGCGCTGCAACATTCAAAGTCGCTGGCTCCATCATCCGCAATGACTTTCATCTCCAGAGCTGCATCGCTCCAGAGATCGGACAGAATTAAGCTATCAGAATTATACTTGTTGAAAAACCATTCACCAAATTTGCGTGCCATCAGATGTATTGGGTAGTCCTGTTCGTTAGCTATCTGCATTAAGGGTGCGTCCGCATGAGTGGAGTCCGGAGCTTTTGAAACTGCCCCATTTAACTGTTTGTCCCAATACTGGATTATTTTCATAACCAAATCGGCTTTTGTGAAGTCTGTCGAGGTGCCAGGTAAACGTGTGTTCAGGTATCTAAATAACAAATCTTTTGTGATATGTCGTTTATGTAGCAGTTTGTGTGTGTCGCCGACCTGTGTTATAAGGTAACCTAAAGCCTCTGTGAGAGAGAGAAAAGTTGTTCATATTTGTTCGTAATATTTTTTGTTTTTGTTTTTACCTTCGGGCTCATCGATGCTGCACACATTTTTTGTTACACTCCTTGCCAGTTGCAGCAGCACGGGTATATTTGTCTCATTACACAGTAGATCGCGCAATCCTGAGCGATGGTGTTCCGATATGGACATGTTATCAATTAGCAATTGTTAATATCTGAATGAAATGCATTTCCAAACATTTGCCGTTTGCTAGCCAGCTGCGAGACACCGCTTTAAGTGTGACCGTAATCACTTTTACTCAGAATAACTTGTTTGCCCCTTTGTGTGCACACTGGTTGATAGTGCTGTAAAATGTGCATATCATAATTAATTACTAACTAAACGCAATTAATTTTATATTTACTTTTTACGGGTTTAATAAACTTAATTTTATAAAAATAATAGCTGAAAAGATCATATAATTGGTTGTATATACTAGTCACGCACTCATCACTGCATAAACGCCGTTTTTCTTGATTCGCTTTCACACGCTGATTCGCAATAAATATTTACGTTTTGCAAAACGGGTTTTTATAGGTATCGGGTGCATAGTACAACTAGCTTTGCCAATAACCGAGGGGCTGGGTCTCTTATCTCTTATCGTAATCGTGTACTAAAATGTCTGCGACAATCGAACAGCAGTTGTAAAGCCAACACAGAGTGAAGCTCGAACAACAAATTTCGCTGGTTTACTTAGTGTCTGTGCATACGTAACCCAAACAAATAAAAAGAAAAAGAAAAGGAAGCTTGAACAATGGAAACCGGCAGCGAGTCAGCGGATGTAAACATGAGTGGTCCCTTTATAGGCGCCATCGATGAGGGCACCACATCGGCACGGTTTATGATCTTTCGGGCAGGCACCGATGATATTGTTTGCTATCATCAAATCGAGGTGCCATCCATTTTTGTGAAGGAAGGTTGGTGCGAACAGGATCCGCGGGTCATTACCAACACTGTCAACGAGTGCATTGAGGGGGCATGCAAAAAGCTCGTTGCACTAGGTGGCAAAGTCAAGGTGAGCATTATTTTACGGCATTCATGGAAGGGGTTAGACTTGAATGAACAGCACGCATCACGACTAGGTGTACCTTATTAAAACGATCTTTTATTGACAAACACATGGACACGTATAGAGAAAGGATTATGGTGATGCTTATATGCAACATTTACGCAGGAAGGTGCGATAGATTTCCGCCTCGTCAATGCGCTCCTGGAGCGTGCGTGGTGGCAGATTCTCAACTCGCTCGTCCAGCTTCACATAGATTTGATCGTTGTGCCCGAAGTCCCCATTGCGACGGGGCATAACATGGAAGTGTACGTGTGGCACTGTCTGACCGGCATTGGCGCCATCCTGCACGGTGACCGTCGCTGAGGTGGTGCCATAGATAGTCTCCAGCATTCGTTGCACCATGCAAACAGTGGCAAATAAATCCGTCACCTCTGCACAGTTGAGTCCATTGAGCCGTGGCGTAATCCTCTTCGTGGAGACCAGCACGTGACCCTCGACGACGCAGCGCAAGTTGGTGAAGGCCCAACAGTGCTCGGATTCGTAGAATATGGTTCGCTTGTCCACGGTGTTGTTTGCAAAGGCGCGATCCTGTCCATATTCCGCACTGGATGGACTCAGATTGAAGGCGGTCAAGCTGTAGATGTCGTTCCGTCTATGCTCGAAGCAGGGCATGCTCTGGTATATCTTGGCCAGTTGCGACAAGTCGATCTCGGCTATACCCACGGCCAGCTTTTCCTCGCCGCCACAGTCCGCAAGGACGACGCCCCATGGACTGATGATCATGGCGTGACCCCAGCTCTGGCGTTTCTTATTATGCCAGCCTTGCTGTGCTGCTGCGATTACAAAGCACTGCGTCTCAATGGCACGAGCACGAAGTAGAATCTCCCAGTGAGCTTTGCCCGTCGCATGGGTAAAGGCTGCCGGATAGGTGAGCACCTGGGCGCCCAGTTTGCGCAGCAGCAGTGCGGGCTCTGCGAAGCGCAGGTCATAGCAAATCTGCAGACCCACCTGCCCAGCCGGCGTGGCCACTGGTTTCTCTAAGCGCTCGCCCGGTGCCACTGTATCCGATTCGCGCAGGCGTATCTCTTTCGTTGTCGCATCGAAGAGATGCAGCTTGCGATAGATGGCCGCCACCTCACCCAGATCGTTGATCACTACGTGCGTATTATATATCCTTTGCTCCGTTTTGTCATCTGATGATGGTGATGTTGTTGTGGATGCCTTTAACTCGTGTATGCCGCCCAGAGACAACCACATCTGATGGCATCTGGCCAGCTCCTTGTATTTGGCCATCAGCGGTCCGTCCAGCGACTCGACCAGCTGAAACGTCTCGTTGCGATTCTCACCAACAAAATCACAGCATTCCGGCAGGAAGAGCATTTTCGCCTTTTTCTGAGCTGCAAGCAAAACTAGCTCTTCCACTTGCTGCAAATTGCCGGCTTTATCGTTCGTGGACTGCATCTGGCCAACGGCTACAATGCTCGGGCCACCGATGGCTAAGCCGCCACTCGGTAGAGCTGACATAATGCGCAACTGCTGTTTGTTTCTGCCGCTGCTGCTGGTTCTGATTATCTGGACGACACTTCGACTGAAAATTTTGACTATGTTTGACATCGAGACGAACAAACAAAAGGTTGATCGAAACTTAACAAGTGTTACGCAGTTAAATGTAGTGTTTTGTATACATATATATTTCTCTTATCAGCTGGTTTTCGTTGTCTTCATTTTTCTGTTGATTGGCCGTCTAGTGCTGCCATATCTTTACAAATGGCGAGCACAAAACGGAATGACTAATTTAAATACTTGTTTCATTGGAATTCAAAGTCTTGTACAACACTAGCAACGTCTTTTGCACTTGTCTCCATTTTCTTATCAGCCGTTTGTGCCATTTTTTGTTTCTTATTTGTACAGTATTGCCATCCTTTATTTTGTCTTAGTCATTTAGTGCTGCCGTACTGTGCAAAATTTTAATCTTTAAATTTCGCGCCAAGAGCTTGGATTCCAGAAAGAACCTAGCTTCGATATGAAGTTATTTAAAGGTCAAACAACAAGTTTATAAAACTATAATATTTCGTAATTAATATTTGCTATAATTATGTGTTTTTTAATTGTAAACATTTGTATTTTCAGGATATTTTGGCAATTGGCATTACCAATCAGCGCGAGTCTACATTGATTTGGGATAAGAACACGGGCGAGGCGTTGGCCAATGCCATTATTTGGCTGGACAATCGCACCACCAGCACTGTGGAGGATTTGCTGGAGACAATACCGAATAATGCGCGCAACATTAATTATTTGCGACCATTGTGTGGTCTGCCGCTTTCGCCATACTTCTCGGGCGTTAAACTGCGCTGGCTGAGAGATAATGTGGCGACGGTGAAGCGAGCCATGGATGCAGGAGACGCCATGTTCGGCACCATTGATACCTGGCTGATGTACAATCTAACGGGTGGCGTGAACGGAGGTGTGCACAAGACAGATGTGACAAATGCATCACGCACTATGCTAATGAACATCGAGACGCTGCAATGGGATGGAAATCTGCTGAAATTCTTCGAACTGCCAAGAAGTATTCTACCAGAAATCTGCTCCAGCGCCGAGCATTTTGGCGTCATTGCTGCGGGCTCGCTAAAGGGCATACCCATCACAGCGGATTTGGGTGATCAGCAGGCAGCGCTGGTGGGTCAACAGTGCCTGTCCAAGGGCCAAGCGAAGGCCACCTATGGCACCGGTTGCTTTTTACTGTATAATACGGGTCCATCAATAGTTCATTCCCAGCATGGATTGCTCACGACGGTGGGCTATCAACTAGGTCGCAAGGCCACGCCCTATTATGCCCTGGAGGGCAGTGTGTCCATTGCCGGCGCCGCCTTCAATTGGCTGAGAGATAATATTGGCCTCATACAGAATACGGGCCAAATCGAGACGATGGCCAGCATGGTGGATAACTCGCTGGATGTTTACTTTGTGCCCGCGTTCAATGGCCTGTATGCTCCTTATTGGAATCAGGATGCAAGGGGCGTGCTATGTGGCCTGAGCGAGGAGACAACCAGTGAGCATATTGTGAGAGCCACGCTGGAGGCTGTTTGCTTCCAGGTGCGCGACATACTTGATTCCATGCACAAGGATTGCAAAATACCACTCGCTAAGCTGATGGTCGATGGCGGCATGACTGTCAACAATCTGTTCCTTCAGCTGCAATCCGACCTGGTTGGCATTCATGTGCTGCGCGCCAAGATTGCGGAGACCACAGCGCTGGTACGTCAAAACTCATTGAGCCAAACCTAATTCTGGTCAGTTCTTACTTATTTACTTAATCTCTTCCAGGGCGCTGCAATGGCTGCCTATAAGACGATTGCTCCACAGTATAATATGGAAGGCCCGTTGTCCAAATCGGATGAACGCGATGTTGTAAAGCCGAAGATCAATTCCACGGAACGCAATTTGCGCTACCAGAAATGGAAGATGGCCATCGAGAGATCTCTGAACTGGGAGACCTCTTCGCTTGCTCAAGGCGAACGCGAATCCTTTGATGGTGTTTAAATTGCGGCAGCTTCCAAAAGCATAACCATGGCACATTGTATTTAATTCAATAAAATATTGTTTTTGTTGTTGAAATTGAAGCAACGTATAGTGTACAGGAGGGCTAAATGAAGACTCTCCGACTAGGAGCTACTCAGTAACAACAACATCTTTAAGGAGCAGACGACCTGAAAGGGTAGCTGTTAGTACATTCGAGTTGCAGTTGTCCTTTTTTGGCAAACGTATAAATGGTATGTTATAATTTATGTGTTCGTTATATTTCGATAGTGTATACAAAAAGTTCGGTTTCAAAACGTATAAAGCCTTGCTTCGAGAGGGTGCGTGCAGCTAGCTAAGATGGCAGTGTATAAACTCTAACCCTTGGGGTCGATCTCTACACGTGTTCATCAACGATGCCGGGTGGAGCATTTGCTGCGGCTGCATGATCCTGCTCGTTTAGCACAACGCCGCCGGCGGCTTCATCCACAGCTACAACAACATCAGCCGCCACGCCCACACCAACCAGGCCAACAGCAGGTGCAGCCAGATCAACATGAGCATTCACGACAGCTATGGCGGGCGGTGGAATGGGATTGCCACCTAGAGAGTGAATGCCAAATAGTTATCAAGCAAATAAAGGAGAAGTCACACTAAGTCGTACTCACTTGCATCTAGTTCCAGAGGTGGATCGGCATTCGCCTCGGCGAGATTCGTAACAGACTTGGACTTAACGCACTGGAAATCGACATGACGGCTCTTGGCTTCCTCCTTCTCCCACGACATGTGTATGAATGGACGCTGAACGTAACTATAAATGACTTCAGCTCGGCCGCCAGGACGCCGACGTATCTTCTCCTTGTGTGTGGGATAGCCCTCAATGCCGCAGCGTATTTTCTTTAATCCTCGATCTTTCATCACCTGCTTGGCCACATCACGATTCTCGATGTACTTGAAGAAACGATGCATGGCAGTGCTGTGCACAGCTGCAGATAGAGAATGATGGGAAATAAAACATATTTATATAATATTTTGGACATACTCTGGCAATACTCCTCGCCCATTTGCGGGGGGAATTCCTCATCCCAGTCGACCATGTCGTCATCGAGCAGTACTACGACATGGCATTCGCGATCGCCGCGCTGTGCTGAGGCAACCATTAAAGGCAATATCAAATCCTCAAGAAAGACTTCGAACTGCTGGCGGGCTCCCTCGTTGCTCAGCTCATGAAGCAGGCCTCCTTTTTGGTGTAGCACAGAGAGATCAAGTAAAAACAAACGAGAAAAGCAAGAAACGGGGGACGGCACTTGACTAAGAGACGCCCAGCTGCAGCAGCAACAACATACTCACTTAGGTTCTGGCAGCGCACAGTAGTCGCGTCAAAGGGTATTAACAGATAGTCGCATGCTTCCTTCAGCTCAGGCACCGATACAGTGGGCGGGCAGCGAATAACTCCACTTTTGTAATACTCCAGTATGGAACGGAACACCAAGTGAGATATGCCATCCGCTAATTCATATTCACCGCGCTCATTGGGATGTACAAATTGAAAGCCTGTGCCGAACATCGTGCCCAACATGGTATTGGGATGTGCGGTGAGCAGCGTTTGCTCCACTGTAAAGCGTACGCCATCCACCAACATCGATATGCGCTCCGGTGGACCCAGACGCACTGTGGCAGCTGCTGCAGCAGCGGCGGCAGCGGCTGCGCTGCTTGTCGTTGGTGTCATCGACTTGTCATGTTTTGAAATCGCACCACTACTCACACTCATAGCGGTGTGCTGCTGTCTCTGCATGTAGGTGCTGCTGCGACTGCGATTCTTTAGGATGCGCCTACGACGCTCCTCGGCAGCCTCTAAATTCTCTTCGATGCTGCTGCTGTCACTGTATGTATCCTGTTGCTGTTGTTGTTTTTGCTTATTGTTGTTGTTGTTGTTGCTATTACTACCACTACTATTGGAATTTGGAGTTGTTGACATTTTTCAGGAATTTTTATTCGCACTCGACCGAACAAAAAAAAAACGTTTGTTCGAGAACTTTATTCCAGCAAAGTGCAGACAAAGAAATGCATTTGCACTAGCGCAGCTTCGTGTGGACGGTTTCACCAAAGTGCTTATCGTTTGTTTCAATCTGTAAGTCGCAATAACTATTTGCCAGCGAGCTTCTCCTTACATTATTTTATGATGTAAAAAAAATTTGTGCGAACTGTTTTTTGCGCTTCTGTATATTCTCTTCGTTTGCTATTTTTTTTTTTTTGGTGGTTGACAGTTATTCGATAACAAATTGCCAGTGACATCGGCGTGTCCAACGAAAGTTTATTTATAATAAATCGACAACAAGCGACATAATTAACAACAATAGAGAAAAACCCAAATATTTAAATACTTTGACTTCTCAGACATTGAGTTACTTAGCTCTCAATAAACATTAGCATTTTAATATTTAGGAGTTGTTTTTGTTGTGCGCGTTGTATCGGTTCCGCGAACCAAGGATTGAAGCTGGTTTCGATAAGTGAAAGAACGAACTAACAAAAGCAGAGATCCGCTATCGATAATCGATTCCGGTACAGCTCTAATAATCGATAAGCCGAAAAGCAAAATGGCAGACGTAGAAAAGGAAACCGAGAAGAAAATCTTGTAAATAATCCGTAAAAAAATTGCATATTTGTCGCAAACATTATGCCAATTGCGCGAAACGCGAGTGCATAATAAATGTAATGTGCAATTTGTTTGCTAGATCCATTTCAACTACCACAAAGTGCTCGCGTGTGTGTCTGCGGCGGCAAAAGCAAAGCCCAGAGTAATATATCCCAATCGAAATTCGCTCGAACGCGACAACCAAAACAGGCAGCAAACAAAGCAACAAATGTGGCGACAATGCCAACCAGCGGGCACGGGCATAATTTCGCATGCATTCTTAAAATGTGCAATTTGCAAAAACAAATAATATTACTACAATAAAAAGTAAGAAAAAAAAATAGGTGCAAAAACGTCGAATCGAATGTGAATGAAAGAGGGGGGAGCAGTGAGCTGAAGAGCGGATGAGACGTTTGCACAAAAGCTGACGGCTGCAGCACGCACGGTTAATTCCATCTCTCTCACACCAATGCCGCGAATGCGCGCGCCCTTAAAACGAGCGTGCGAGATAGATGGATTTTTTGGGATGGCATTTAATGTGTTGTTTGAGTTACACAGCAGTCAGCTTTTGTTATGCCACACGCGTTTTGATATTTTCCTTTTTACTGTCAGTTTCAGGTTTTTTTTCTTCTCTTTTTTGTGTATTTTTTGTGACGAAAAGCGCATAGAAAATGTACAAGAAAAAAGTTTGCAAATCGAAAATCGGTTAGTCGCAAATATAATTTAACTGTGTTCTTTTCGTTTAGGCGGGCAGTGAACAAAACAAAAGTGTAAGCCTTAGCATACACTCATACACACACACAGAGACAAAGTGCGTGCAAAAACAAAAATAGTGAAGCAAACGGTCGAAGAAACAGAAATCGAAGGAGGGGTAGCGGTAGCGCGCATCTATTGCTTATAGCAGTGCATTGCACAGACTGCAAAGTGGCGGCGCTACTCGGGATTAGTGCTGGTGCAGCGGCAGCGGCGTCCATGTTAAACGGGCGGCAGCAGCAGCAGCACAACAACAACAACAAGAACTATAATTACAATAATAACAATAACAATTCAATTAACAACAACAACAAACAGCAGTGGAACTCGCAACAACAGCAACAACAACAGCCGGCGGTGTGGCTGTGGTGTCGCCAATTGTGGCCTTAAGCATGTAGTAAGAAATGTCCATAATAAATTGCATCACTTAATTAACAACTGCCCTTCCTGCACCTCCGTTCAACCCATCCATAGGTCGCAGTTGAGCAACAAAAGCGGGCGGTCTAAGTAGCACAAGTCGAACCCCTCAGCGCAGGAGGTTCCACAAGGCAAAACCAATAAAATATATACACACACCCACACAAACAAAGAGAAACAACACACAAATGAAAAATGTCACAAAGAGGTAAGCGCGGTAATCAGCAGCAGCAGCAGCAGCAACAGCTGCAGCAGCAGCCGCCGCAACAGCAGCAGCGACAAGACGTTGAGCCGCAGCCGCCGCCCACAAAGCGACGAAAAGGACGGCCGCCCAATGGAGCCCCGGCGACAGCAACAGCGTCATCAACAGCAGCAGCAACAGCGACAACATCAACGACAGCAGTTGCTGCTGCTGCAGCAACAGTTGCTGTCAGCGACCAACAGTCAATATCGAAGCTGCCGAGCAAGGCCAAATCGGCCAGCAAAAGTAAAGCGCAAAGCAACAGCAACAACAATAATAGCAATAGCAACAACAACAGCAACAACAATAACAGCAGCAACACCTGGCAAGCGCGCTCCGTGGCCGATATCAAAATGTCGAGCATCTACAATCGAAGCTCAACCGAAGCGCCAGCTGAACTGTATCGGTACGTCCAAGAGCAATCAATATATATATATATATTTTAAATCTATAAAACTTGCTTCTAATATGCCCATTTTATGCTCTATTACAGCAAGGATCTCATTAGCGCAATGAAATTGCCAGACTCAGAGCCATTGGCCAACTCCGAGTATCTGATTGTAACTGATCAATGGAAACAGGAATGGGAGAAGGGCGTACAGGTGCCCGTCAATCCCGATTCGCTGCCCGAGCCGTGTGTCTATGTGCTGTCCGACCCAATTGTATCGCCAGCGCATGACTTTAAACTGTAAGGAATTGGTTAAACCAAAGATATTCAGATATATAGTATATATATATAAATATATGTATATATATATATATATTTGTAGGGAGTACTGTATTCATATATTTGCATTCTTATTGCAGTCCAAAAAATCGTTTCCTGCGCATCACCAAAGATGAACATTACTCGCCGGACCTGCATTGTCTGACGAATGTTGTTGCACTGGCGGAGAACACATGTGCCTATGACATCGATCCCATCGATGAGGCTTGGCTGCGATTATATAATGCCGATCGAGCACAATGTGGAGCATTTCCCATTAACGAAACGCAGTTCGAGCGGGTCATCGAGGATCTGGAGGTAGATTGTTATACGATAAAGCTAAGAATCTTGACCAATGCTCAATTATCTCTTGATTAGGTTCGCTGCTGGGAGCAAATCCAGGTCATACTTAAGAAGGAGGAGGGTCTGGGCATTGAGTTTGATGAAAATGTTATATGTGATGTTTGTCGCTCGCCCGACTCCGAGGAGGCCAACGAAATGGTATTCTGTGATAATTGCAACATCTGTGTGCATCAGGCTTGTTACGGCATTACAGCGATTCCATCAGGTAATACAAAGAGTGAAACCTTCTCTGGGGCTTATACTAAACCATATTCACAATTGCTTTCCAGGCCAGTGGCTTTGTCGCACTTGTTCGATGGGCATTAAGCCAGAGTGTGTGCTTTGTCCCAACAAGGGAGGCGCCATGAAATCTAATAAATCGGGAAAGCATTGGGCGCATGTCTCTTGCGCCTTGTGGATACCAGAAGTTAGCATTGGCTGTGTCGATCGAATGGAGCCGATAACGAAAATCTCAAGCATTCCTCAAAGTCGTTGGGCATTGATCTGTGTGCTTTGTCGCGAGCGTGTGGGCAGCTGTATACAGTGCTCGGTGAAGACGTGCAAGACGGCTTACCATGTCACCTGTGCGTTTCAGCACGGACTCGAGATGCGCGCCATTATCGAGGAGGGGAATGCCGAGGATGGTGTGAAGCTGCGCTCCTATTGTCAAAAGCATAGCATGAGCAAGGGCAAAAAGGAGGGTGCACACGCATCGCATACATCCGCATCCAGTTGCATGCAAAAGCATAACAACAAATTCTCGTCGAGCAGTGGGCATGCTGGCGAGGAGGGGCAAACAGCAGGTGCCAAAGGCGAAGATCACCGAAGACGCAAAAACCATCATCGCAAGAACGATATGACCTCAGAAGAGCGTAACCAGGCCCGTGCGCAAAGATTACAGGTAAATTATATATGACAATTTATATTGTTAGATTGATAACAGTTATATATGTATATGTCTATATGTTTGTCTATGTATCATCATTATTCAGGAGGTCGAAGCGGAGTTTGATAAACACGTGAATATCAATGATATTAGTTATCATTTGTACGATGTGGATGAGGACGCCATTGAGGCCATTTATAATTACTGGAAACTGAAGCGTAAGTCACGACATAATCGTGAGTTGATTCCACCTAAATCGGAGGATGTGGAGATGCTCGCACGCAAGCAGGAGCAACAGGATCTCGAGAATCATAAATTGGTTGTACACTTACGTCAGGACTTGGAGCGTGTGCGTAATCTTTGTTATATGGTCAGTCGACGTGAGAAGCTGTCGCGTTCGCTGTTCAAGCTGCGCGAGCAGGTGTTCTACAAGCAGCTCGCTGTGCTGGATGATGCAGTTGTGCAGCGGCAGCAGCAGCAGCAGTCGGGCGCAACGGACAACAACAAGGAGCAGCCCGCATTGGACACAGATGCCATACTCTATGCAAACGATGGACCCACTCTCTACGATCGGTTCTACAGCTCGGATCAGCTAACTGTGCCGGCACAGTATCAGAGCTTGGAATATATATTGGAGCAGCTAAAGGGTAAGAAGCAGGCACGTGGACGCGCCTCTCAATCGCCCAACAAGCGCAAGCAGCAGGCGGCGGCTAGCAAAGGCTCGCCCAAAAAGAAACTCAACAATGGTGCAATAACTACAACAACAACAACAACTACGAACACAACAACAGCAACATCAACATCAGCATCTGCAACAGCAGCTGGAACAATGGCTAACAAAGCACCCAAGTCACGTGGCTCGCCAAGGGCGCCTACAACGGCGTCTTCGGCGGTGCCGTGTGCGGGGAGGCGTGCCTCAAAGAGCGGCCCGGCAACGACGGCGACGTCGAGCCATCAACAACAACAGCAAACGCAGCAGCAGCAACAGCATAAATTGTCTAAATCCTCGAATGCTATTGGCCGCGCGTCCGCCCCAACGATTAGCGGCAGCTCGTCATCGGCTGATTCCAGCTCGGCGCACGGCAGCAGCAGCAGCAGCGCCAGCAGTAGCAACAGCAGTTCCGACTCCAGCAGCGAAAGCGATTCAGGCAATGAGAGCCACAGCTATCGCAGCTATCGCAGTAAAGCCCAGCCAGGAGGAGGTACAGCCACTGCCACTGCCACAGCCACAGCCACAGGCACATCAACAGCGGGAGCAGCCAAGCCCGTGCGTAAGCAATCCTATGCGCGCAGCGTTGAGCAGCGCAAGAAGCAGCGACAGCGGCGTCAGAGTGAGGCAGCTGCGTGTGCGTCTGCTGCGTCTGCCAATGCACGCAGCAGCTGCAGCAGCAGCAGTAGCAGCAGTAGAAGCAGGAGCAGGAGCAGGAGCAGCAGTTCCTCCAGCGACGACAACGATGAGCGGACGCAGCGTGTCAAGCGTGTCCACAAGTCAACGACAGCCACAGCCACAGCAACCGCAACAGTACCTGCCAAAAGTCAAGCAACTAAGTCAAAGCAAAGCACAGCTGCAACGAGCACAGCTCGACGAAAACTGTCCAGTAGTGGAGCAGCAGCAGCTGCAGCAGCCGCCGCCACAGCCTCATCATCTACAGCGCCCACAGCGACGCGCGGCCTTGCTCAGATGGACAAGGAAATGCGGCAGCAGGACCCCAACAGTTTGTCCAGCGATGAAAGTGAGGAGCTGCTGCCTGTGAAGCTAGGCGAGCGACACGGGCGGATTCACAATGCGAGCTCAGCGAATTCAAACTCCGCTACAGCCTTGGCCGGAGCAACGGCGACAACTGCACTACGCAAGCCGGGCCAGCATATCTACTCCGATTCGGATAGCTCGACGACAACGACGCCGGAGCGTGAGGTGCCCAAGCGGCTGGAGGAGGAGGAGCAGGCGGCAGCCGAGAGCAATGTGAGCGATTCACAAAATCAGCAAACGATACGCACCAAGGCAGCCATGAAGGAGTTTGTGCCAGGCACTACGGCAGCGACAGCGACAGCGACAACTGGCGCAACAACAACAACTGCAGTAACAACGACAAGCAAATCAAAGGCCAACAAATCGAAGGCCAATGCACCCGTCTTTCCGCCCGTGGATCTACTGGTGGTTCCTCAACGGCAGGCGGCCAAGAAGGCAAGCGAAAATATGCGCATCTCCACGAATCTCGCCACTGCGCTGCTGCCCGATGCCAACGAGCGATTGAGGGAGCCGGAGCCAGGCAGCAGCAACGCTGGAGTAAGCGCGTCCAATGCCACCAGCAGCAGCAGTAGCAGCTCGAAGAGCAAGGCCAAGGAGGCAGCCAATCGCGTGGTCGAGGCGGATAAAGCGCGACCGAAGGAGCTGCAGAAGACGACGGGCAAGGCGGCGGGCGAGACGACGGCGGAGCGTGGCAAGCGGGGCCGACCGCCCAAGCAACAAAAGGAAAAGGAAAAAGAGAAGGAGAAGGAAAAAGATAAGGAGAAGGAAAAGGAAAAAGAAAAGGAGAAAGAGAAGGAGAAGGAAAAGCCAGCACCCAAGAACAATGAGCTGGCCAAGCTGGGCAACTTTGCCGTCTCGTATGTGCCACAGCGCCAGGCCGCCAAGAAGGCAGCCGAACAGCTGAAGAGCAGCGGCGCAGCGTTGGTCAAATCAAGCCAAGAGTCGAGCACAAGTGCAGCCAATGAGGAGCTGACGACAGGAGCGAGTGCAGGAGCAGCAGCGACAACATCAAACACGTCGCCCCTCAAGTCCGCCAAACAGCAGCAGCAGCAGACGACGCCAGTGCGTCGCAACTCGCTGTTGAAGGAGACGCCACGACGGCGCTCCAAGGAGGAGGTAGCACCAGCGCCTGTCAAGCGACGCATTGCACCGCCTAATCTGTCCAGCACCAGCTCGGGTGATAGTAACAGCAGCAGCAGCAACTCCTCCAGCAGCAACAGCGACAGCAGCAGCAGCGGCAGCGGCAGCGATTCGGACAGCGACAGCGAGCCGCCAGTCCAGGAGAAGCGCAAGCCGCCAGCTGCAGCAGCAGCGGCGGCAACAACCACAACTGCTGCCTCTACATCTGCATCCACATCCAACTCTGTTTCCACCTCCGCCTCCGCCTCCACCTCCGCCTCCTCTAGCTCAATTGTGCCAAAGCGTTCGCCGCGCAAGTCGCTGGACAAACCTGCTCCGGCTCCAGCTGCAGCTCCAGCTGCACCTCTGTCCAGCCGAACGCGCCAGAATTCCACAAATAAATCGCCAAAGAGAACGCCGCAAAAGTCGCAAGCGCCGGAGCCAAATGCCACGCCCAAATCGTCGCAGCGACGCAAATCCTCGTTGGACGATCTAAGCAAGCAGACGCCGCCGGAGGTGAGTAAACGTGCCACACGCAATTCCAAGTCGCGTCCGCCCTCACCTGCCGCGGTCAGCCAAGCGAAGGCCAGTCCGGAGAAGCCAATTGCTTCCCGACGCAAGTCTCGAGCGGAATCGCCGAAGAAGACGCCGCCCAACCTGGAGCATGAGATAGCGCAGCGTAAGGCGGCGACGGGCCGGACGACGAGTGCACTGGATAAGCTGCTCGACAAGAAGCAGCAACAGCTGAACAATGCCACGCCCACGCCCACGCCCACAGCAACGCCCACAACAACACCGACGCCTCCAGCGAAGCAAAGAGCGCCGAGTCCCGAGGCGGAAACTCAGCGGCCATCCACTGCGCAGCAGGAGTCGGGCGAACAGCCCATGGACATTGACGAGGAGCTAACCACGGCGCCCACCCACACCCAGCTCTCGGCCAACGCCAGCAAACTGGCGGAGCTCTCGGCGGCGGACATCGATGAACGGCCGCCGGCAGCTCCGTTGCCCGCCTCGCCCACACCCACGCCCTCGAATGATGAGCTCTCCGATGAGGCGGGCAGCGATCAGAGCGAGCGCCGTCGCAGCCATACCTGGCGCTCGCGCCGCAGACGCCGGCGCACGCGCGACGAGGACGACGAGGAGCAGCACACGCATCACACGCAGCATCTGCTCAACGAGATGGAAAATCTGCGCGAGCTGGAGGAGGAGCGCAAGAATGAGCTGATGGTGAATGCAATACTCCGCATATACTCTGCATCCACATCCTCGCCTGCTGTCACGGTCATTCCACCCGAGCCGCCAGAGATCATTGAGCTGGACTCGAACTCCAATTCAGGCGAGCAGCAGCAGCAGCAACAACAACAACAGCAGCAACCGCAGCAACAGCAGCAACCGCCGCAGCCGCAGCAACAGCAGCAGCAGCCACAGTCGCTGCCTTTGCCGGAGGCTGTTGCCACACGCTGCGCCACTTCGGAGCTGGATCAGCCCATTGTGGATACCATTCTGGAGATGGAGGACAGCAAGTATACCAACAGCTTTGCCACCAATGTGGCTAATGTCCTGAATCCGCCCAATTCGGGTCCCATGAGCAGCCTGCTCGATAGCAGCGGCCCTGGCGCCGGCAGCAAGCAAATCTTCGAGGAGGACAGCACGCTGGCGACGCGTAATCTGGTCGAGAAGTTGCGCAAGACGAAGCGCAAGCCAATGCTGGACGATTGCAAGGACTCGTTGGACCTGCTGCCGCCCACGCCAGCGATACCCTCGGTGTTTCCCTTTCACAATGCAGCTGATCCTGAAGATCTGATCCATGCGCAAAAGGAGCTCCAGCAGCAGCAACAGCAGCAACAACAACAACAGCAGCAGCAACAGCAACAGAGTTGCCTCTTTGGCAACTCGGCGCCCAATTCGGTGGCCAGTCAGCTGACCATCAAGGATTCTCCCATGACGGCCAACAGTGGAGGCAGCTATGCCAACAGTTTGACCAATACGCCCAATGCCACGCCTACCACAAATGCGAGTGCCAACAACCTGGGCTACGGCAATGTGAACTACAGCTGCTACCTGAACAAATCCTCGCCGCAGCTGGCGCACAAGCCGAGCAACGGCAACCAGCTGGCCACGACTCCAACTGCGACACCCACCACGCCCGTCTCAGTGGCCGCCCCACCGCCCACGCCCGACTTTGTGGATCTGGCTGCGGCGGCTGTGAAGAACAGCCTGGGCGGCTATGCAGCGGGTGCTGCAGGAGGCGCCTCCTCGCTGCCGACACAGGCGAATGCAGCGATCAACTCGTCCAACTCGCAGTCGAACAACAAGCTGAGCGACTACGATGAGAACACGCGCATGCAGTCGCCATTTGGCGGGATGCAGCGCTGGAATGAGAACGATTTGATCGCAGCCAGGCGCAGCAGTTCGCCCAGCTCGGTGTCCGAGTCGAACGATCAGCCGCCGAGTCAGCTGGCCCAGCAGCTAGACAAGAGCTACTTCAACAGCTATGCTGCGGCGGCGGTCAGTGCGCCGGCTGGAGCCGGAGCTGTAGCGGGAGCCGGACCAACGGTTAATCAGGGTGCTCCAGCCAGCAACAACAACAGCGCAGTATCCGGCAGCAGTGCGGGCAATGCCTTTGGCAGCCATACGCCGCTCGTCAATGGCATCGATGCCATGTCCATGTACAACAATGCGACGCAGCAGCAGCAGCAACAGCAGCAGACCACGCCCACTCACCCACAGCGCACGCCCAACAGTCAATACAATGGCGGCATCTATCCACAGCTGGCGGCCATCATTCAGCAGCAGCAGCAGCAGCAGGTGGTGCAGGCAACGCTTGCCGAGCCGAGCGCCCAGACCTTGTTCGGGAACAGCTCACAGCCCAACACGCCCTATGTGAGCACGCCCTATGCCACGCCCAATCTGACGCTGACTACTACGCCCAATCATCAGTATCCAGTGGATGGCAATCTAACGCCTTATCCGCTGCTGAGCAGCTGTGCAGAGCAGTTGCCCGCGATGATGCAGCAGCAGCAGCAACAGCAGTCGGTGGAGCAGGTGCAGCCAGTGCAGGTGCCGCTGCCGGTGACTGTGCCCGTGGCGGTGCCTGTGCCCGTGCCCGTAACTGTGCCTGTGGCGGTGCCCATAGCTGTACCCGTCGCTCCACCCCTGCCGCCGCTGCCCCTGCCCAGCAAGGAGAGCATCTCGCCCACCAAGCGAGGCAGCAACAATTCCGCCAAGCAACAGCAGCAGCAGCAGAAGCAACAGCAGCAGCTCCAGCATAAATCGCCGCAGCTGCCGCAGGGCAAGTCGCCTGGCAAATCGCCAAGGCAACCTGTCGCGCTCCATCCGCCGCCCACGCCGCCGGCGCCCATAGCCACGCCCACGCCGACAGTCACGCCGACGCCGGCAGCGCCGAAATACGATCCGCTGACGCACACGCTGACAGGCAAGCCGCGTCAGCGGGCGCCGCGTGGCAGTGGCTCGCAGACGGGCACGCGCGGTCGAGGACGCGGCCGTGGCCGTGGTCGAGGAGGCAATGCAGCCAACACCATTCTCCCGCTGCCGCCTGCCATTGCCGACTACGGCCGGAACACGCACATCGTGAGCAACCTGGTGGGCACGCCCTACGAGTTCAACAACTACGATGACGAGCTGAGCGGGCCCGGCGTGGAGAACTTGCAGTCGTTGCGCGATCGCCGACGCAGCTTCGAGCTGCGCACGCCGAACGCGGGCGCAGCCGGCGGTGCAGCGGCGCCGAGCAACACCACCAGCTATTCGAGCTGCAAGCTGCGTGGCCAGAACAAGGCGAATAATCCCCTGCTGCATGCGATTGTGCAGCCCGTGCTGCCCGGCCCAGTGGATATGCGCACCTACAATCTTGGCTTCGAGGCACCGCACAGCACCGCCTCCCAGGAAGCCTACCAGAACAATCTCCTGGGCGCCTTCGACTCGGGCACTGCGGATCAGACGCTGAGCGAATTCGACGAGGAGGACGAGCGCCAGTTTCAGTCGGCATTGCGCGCCACTGGAACCACCAGCAGCAGCAGCACCACCACCGCCAATAATAATAACAGCAGCAGCAATAACACCTCGCCCAATAAACCACCAAGTGGAGCCACTGCTGCGAGTGGTGCAGCTCCTAGCAGCCTGCTAAGCAGCGCATTGCAATCCAGTGAAGCGAATCAAGCCCCGCCCACTAACCAGCTCGTCTCCGAGCTGGTGGTGCCTGCACTGGAAGCCTCACTGGAGGCCACGTCGGAGGAAATATCCATCGACTCAGACACCACCACGCTAACCACCAAGGCTGCCCTGAACCAACTGAAGCTTAAGATCAAGGAGCCGCTCGCCTATCCGGATCTGCACTACAGCAGCGTCACGAACAGCAGCTGCCTGTCCAGCAGTGGCAGCCTGGTGCAGGCGAATGTGGTGCAAACCACCGTCACAGCGCAGCTGAGCGGCGCCACTGTGGCCAGCACCTCGGCGGCTTGCACGCTGAGCGTGAGCGGAAACTCGCGACGCATGCGAAAGAAGGAGCTGCTCAGTCTGTATGTGGTGCAGAAGGATACGCTGAACGACGACAGCTCGTGTGGCTTGCCCGCTGCCTCGGATAGCCAGCCGCTGGAGAACATGCGCAAGTCGGATGCCAGCGAGCTGGACGACGAGCAGCAGCAGCAGCAACAGCAGCAGCTGCCGGCAGGCGGCGGCACCACCAAGCGCTTCAAGAAGACCGCCAGCAACAGGGAGCTGCGGGCCCTCGATGCGAATGCCTGCCTCGAGGAGCAGCTGCCGGCGGGTGGTGCAGCTGGAGCGCAGCCGTCGGGAGATGGCCGGCGGCGCAGCGCCTGCAGTTCGGGCAGCGCGGACAATGGCAAAACGGGGGCGGCGAGCAGTGCTGGCAAGCGACGTGGACGCAGCAAGACGCTGGAGAGCAGCGAGGATGACCACCAGGCGCCCAAGTTGAAGATCAAGATTCGCGGACTGCCAGCCACAAATGAGACGAATGCCGGACTGTCGGTCAGCGGCTTGGATGGCAGCAGCAGCAGCTACAGCTACGAGATGACGCGACGGGCCTGTCCGCCCAAGAAGCGACTCACGAGCAACTACAGCACCCCAACGCTGGAGGAGATCAAGCGCGACTCGATGAACTATCGCAAGAAGGTAATGCAGGACTTTGACAAGGGCGAGGACAACAACAAACGGGAGCTGGCGGGCGACAATGAGACGCTGCTGGCCAAGCCGAAGAAGGACAAGAAGGACAAGCCGAAGAAGGACAAAAAGGAGAAGAAGCGCCTCAAGCAGCAGCAGCAGCAGCAGCAACAGTTGCTGCAGTTCAGCAACAACAACAGCACCACCACCACCCTGACGACCATGACCACCACGCTGATTGAGAACACGGTCAGCGACTCGCCTGGTGAGAAGCCAAAGCTCATATTGCGAATCAACAAGCGCAAGGCGGAGACAACGACCACCACGAAAATCAACGCGGAACAACAGCCACAGCAAGAGCAGCCGCAGCAGCAGCAGCAGCAGCAGCAAATGGAGGCTCCGTTGCGCCTGAAGATCGCGCGTATTTCAGCTGGAGGCGCCTATGTCATCGGTGCCAAGACGGACAACAAGGAGCCAACGCCAGCGCCATCCGTTTCCCCAGCGGCGCCCGCCGAGCTGCCGCTGTTGCCACTGGTCGGTGTCGGTGTATCGCCATCGCTCACCAACAACAATAGCAGCTTCACGCCTCACTCCCAGAACGCGAATGCCTCGCCTGCACTGCTGGGCAAGGATACGAGCACGCCCTCGCCGCCCTGCCTGGTCATCGACAGCAGCAAGAGTGCGGATGTGCATGACTCCACCTCGTTGCCAGAGAGCAGCGGTGCAACGGCTGCCTCGGTCGTCAGTGGTGCTGGTGGAGGCGTGGGTGGTGCTGATGTTGTTGGTGTCGGTGTTGGACCCACCTCGCCGCTGTGCGTCAATGTGGGCAACTATGATAATAGCAACAATTCGTTGCCGTCGGCCAGTGGCTCCGGCTCAGGGTCCGGGTCCGCGTCCAGCAATTCCTGCAACAGCAATTCGAACAACAACAACAATAACAATAATAATAACAACAACAACAACAATAACAACGGCAACAACAGCAACGGCAGCCGCACAGGCGGTTTACTTCCACTGAAAAAAGACTGTGAGGTTAGATGATAATCATAAAGCCAGCGTTCGACCAAGCTATATATGTATATGAAACACACATATATATATATATATATATATATATATATATATATATATATATATGTAGATCAGACTATATACATACATATATATAGAGAGAGAGAGAGAGAGAAACGATTCAGCGATCGTTTACTTCCAGCAGCAACAAAGTGTCCTATAAAAAAAAGCAAACCCTACATAGTTATCCACTTTCATGCATGTTCTTTTGTAAACCCATCTGTAAATCATTTATTTTTATCCCCCTTCCGCAACATTTTTGTAAAGCCCTATTTTGTACAGTTAGGTCATAAGTCCTGCCCCAATTTTGTTGTGCACACGCAAGATATTAAAACTATATAGGCATACTATATATCTATATATATAAATATGAATTATACAACAACGTACATAAACAAATACTAAATAATGATTGTACATTTTTAATTAAAGCGAATTTTATATATAGTTCCGTAGTCTAGCCTATGTAAAAAATCAAATACTGTATTAAAAGTTAAACACGCAGTAGAAATTCGCAATTATGTTTAGCCTAAATATCAGAAAAAGTTAAAAATTAATAAAAGAATTCAAATGCTCGGTTTATATAGCGCATACGGATCAGCATGCGTTATTCTAGTTAACCCACTTCCATAAAAATACCTACTCATATATAAAATTAAAGAAAAAAAACTAAAATATATAAAAATAAATATATATTATTATTATATATATTTTAATTATTTATTAATAACTATTTAAAAATGACACAAAAATAAATGAGAGAATTCATTAAATAAACACAAAAAAATTTAAAAATAAAATAGAAAATTTGTTAAAAATCGAAGAAAAAAAAACCGAAATGAAAAGCGAAACACTTAACAGTTGTAGCTCGTAGTCATTAATTGTAGTTCATAGCGAAAATCGAAAGTCGGCTACCAACATTTTGGGGGCGTGGCCGCAACTAAGTGCATATATTAAAGCGAAGAGCAACATATTAAACTAGAATAGAAATTAAAATGAAAAGTAACAAAATCAAGAACACTTTTGGAGAATGGAAATGTTTGTATTTTTAGATTGTAAGCAAAAGAAAAACCGTGTCGAAACTCCATAAAAAAAAAATTTTAAAATTGCAACAAAACACTTGAAGTTTATTATTTTATAGTAATTTTTGTTGAAACATTTTTGAACATTTTCGAAATAGTCCAAAACAGTTTTTGTACAGACAACTCGAAAAGATCTACACAATCATTACACTACATACAGCTGCGGGCATAAAAATAGTAGTGCGGCTGAGCACTAAATGTTATATACAAAAACTTTGTGATTAACTTAACAACATCTAAATGAATAACAAATCAAGTTAGTCTTAATATTCGTTTAAAATTTTGTTAAAAACATTAAGTTTATCCCAGAGGTGCTTTGTTTAACATTTTGAGTTTAGTCCCACTTCTATTTTTAGTACCAGCAGCTGCATAAGTTATTATCAGACGCTCCATGTGATTGCGCATTCCAGTTCTAGTTGCAGATGATAAAGATGACTTCAAATCCAAAATGAATGAAAAAATCCCTTTTTATGTCTCTAAAAAGGTTTTTAAATTACAAAACTTTAATCAATCACATCGAGCAGCTACAACTGTATATATTCATGTATGTATATGGAAATTTTTTTAAAAATTCGGCTTACCAATTTAACAAAAATCAAGAAATGACACATTATTAAAAAAGTAAAAGTTAAAAAGAAATAAATAAATAAAACATATTTATTCCAATATATTCAACAAGCAAACAGAAAATTGTAATTTTAGAACTATTCGGAGTTGTAAATGGCAAAGATTGTAAATAGTTGTGTGAGTGTGTGCGTGCCTGTGTCTGTGTCTGTGCGTGAATGAAATGTTTTTTTTTATTATTATTACGTTAAAATTATATTATTAATAAATACTGATTATTAATTTTAAATTGTAGTTTTTAGCGAAAATTTAAATAAAACAACAAGCAAAAGCCTTATTTAAAAAAAAAAAAAATAATGAATCAAATCATTTTAAACATTTAAAACTTGCAATCTGCACAAGCCCAATTTTGTTTTTCATCAATCTATAAGCTAATCCGATATGATAATATAATGATCTGATACTTTATATCGTGAAGTTGGCAAATGTGGGGAACCAAAAGAAAGAGCGATTATATAGCAGAGTAATCCTTGAAAACAATTTGTCAATTAAAAAACAAAATGTAAAGTATATGGATAACATAAAAATCATGAATGGAACTGGGTATATACACATATATGTATATATACATACATATATAATAAAAAGTAGGGACACAATATTTTTGGTGCCGTATTTTGTACAAATCAAGCAATATTCTCTGAACTTGTTAATGGAAAACACACAAAATAGAGAGAAATAGATCGTATATTTTTTAGTTCCCATATGTGCGATACAGACCAAACCAAGCGTTAAATAAATATAAAATACTTGATATAAGTCAAGAAAATGTCATACATATGCCTAAAAAAAAAAGGAAAACTTTTCAAGAATTACATTTCTATAAGCAACATAGGCAAACAATAAGTATTACTAATGAAATTATTATTATTATACTATTATTATTATTATTATCATTATTATTATTATTGATATGATATAGGTGTTGAGCAGATGACAACAGTTAGTTCGTAAGTACGTAGGGCTACATAGGGAAATCTATAGTGCTAGTATAGTGTCAGGAACTAAAGATCGATATGTAGATTTAACAATGGGTAGGTGTTATATAAGTATATAAAACGAACAATCTAAGCACATGCCTAGTAAATCCAAATATATAAGTATTGTGTAACATACTACAGAATATATATATACAGATCTATATGTATATATATACATAAATCAACTTTTTTGTATGTTAAATAATTATGAACATGATTTCTAAACAAAACTTCGATATAATATATGTAAAATACGGAAACAAGATAATGCTGTAAAAATATGAAAAAATTAAAACCAACCAACTAGTAAAGCTAAGTTGTATTATAAATATGAAAATATAGAAGAAATTATACATAAATTATTAAAAACAAAAGTCTTTTACTTACCTTCCACAATATTTTCCATAATGATATAAAATCATTAACATTTTTTTTTTTTTATATAGATATATATTTCCTTTTGTTTTCTGTATAAGTACATATATATTCATCTCTTTATATATATATAATTGTTTTACACATCTTAGAGTTTTTGGGTTTTGTTTTTCGTTATAATACTAGAAAATTTGCGTGTGGAGTGAGCCTTGTTTATAAGAAATTAGAATCTGATATTTGAATTTATTTGTTTTTTTTTTTTTTTTTTTATTCAAAAAAGCGTCTGCACAAAAGCCAGATGAAAGTTCTATTCGAAAATCTCAAGGCTTATTGCTACTTTGGCCACACACACAGTCTGTACACTCAGAGAAAAAACGACTGCACTTGTGATAATTGTTGTTATTATAAATTAAGTTAGGAATTTTTTCAAAGAAATTAATAAGTTAAATTATTGTAGCAAAAGTAAAAATATCTTAATTTCATAGTTTTTATACTTAAACTAAGCATTCAAAAATACTAAATGGAAGTAAAAAACATCTTAAAGTATTTCTTTTTAAATTAATAATTAATTCTTGTCAATTTTATAATATAAATATTTCCGTAAAGAGTTTAGTGCAAACTTAACTTCATTTATTTAGTATTTTTTCTCTGAGTGTAAAGTCTGGTATATTATTGTTTTACAACCAGCTCCATTTGACTTCAAAGTTTTAAGAGTGCAGCTTATCTATCATCTGGTTTGTGCATATATCGTATATAATTTATTCCGAAATATCTTTTCTTTTTGTTTTTCAATCTTTGTATTTGTGGATTATAGCGTTTCTCTATAAGTTACACTTAAATTGTCTAATCGCTGTGTTCTTTGTGGGCTTTACGAACCGAAATGAACTATTTACACTTTGAGAAAAATTTCGTTATCAAATATTATTATAGTTTAAATAGAACTGTCAAATATGAGCTTAAGATTTTTGCTTTTTTATTTTTGTTTTAAATTTATTTTTATTGCATGATTTTTGTATTTGGAATAATTTTTGGGAATTTTCTTTCACTTTGTGTATTTTTGTAGCTTTTCGGCGAAGACCAAAAATTGTTGTCCATTTTTGTTGTTGTTGTTGTATTTATTAATAATCACACAAAAAATATAGAGATATATATTTTGCATGGTATATTTGTTCTTATTTGTTTTTCCTTTAAAGTATTGCGCTCTTTACTCAATGTAAATGTCCTCGATGGGATAAGCTGTTTCAATAAACTTCTGATAGAAACGCTGAAAGGCGCGACTGGAAGAAAGAGGAGAGGATTGTATAAATAAGATGAATTGATGGAGTTATCAATGTGTGTGTGTGGATGCTTACCCAACTGCCTCGGCCACTGGCCTTGTGGACTCGGAGCCCTTGAAGACGTGACAAGCGAATCGCTGCACTGTCGGATGCTTTGTGATGAACCCAATGAAGCGATGATCGCGCGGATGAAACGCGCAGAAAGAGACATTCTTAAGCGAGTAGAAGTAATCGATGCAGGGTTTCTTCTCCTTCTTGTTCTGTTGAAGAGTTATAAAAGATAAAACATATAGAGAAGAAGAAGTTGGAATATATAATATAATATAATTAGAGTATTCAGATATCCAAAAGCGAAAACATATAGAGAACATTTCTTTTATTATAAGATCCTGTTGCTCAATAGTCTAGTTTCCGGGGTATACTTGAAAATTAAGTTCATAACCATTTTTAGGTAATTTAAGGAGGCTATGGAGGTAGATTATTTGTGCGGATATTGTTCACTTATAGAGAATTATCAAAAATGGGTTCTACCAACTCGTAAAGATTTTGTTTAATGAAATATAGTTTTCGGTCCACTGTCGCATATGATTCTCTACGTTCAAAGACTCCCTAATCACCAATATAAATTGCCTTTGCTTCGTCTATTACTCTAAACATTCCCTTCAGCCCACTTTCAGCTCGCACTTACATTTGGCGCCGAGCGATCGACCATGCGTA